ATTTCATTGATTTGAATCCAGAAATACAAATTAGCTCATCCAGAGACTTTCTAATTGTATCCTTAACTAATCAATTGAAAGAACACTCTCTTTTTTATATTATCATTACTATTTTACAATATCTTGATAATCAAAATTGTGTTTAGTTCATACCATTTCTAAATGTTGAAGTGAACCACTCATTTTAAATCAACTGTGAAACAGTATTAATGATTTTTTTTAATCCTCATTTAAATTAGAAATCAAGTTAAAATGTCTATTTTACAAAGTAATTATGCATTTTTGATCTTCTGTCTGAAATGAGAAGTAGTGATGTCGGTCAAAAGTCGGAGACAGTCAAGAAACAAGTTGTTGGAACAAGCTGTCGTGTTTTTAAAGCTTTCTGACAGTACACAAGAGAACGGGCACCTGCAGTGTTTCTCACGCCGTCAAAACTTTCTCTGTCTGTTCCTAAACATTTCTGCTGTTTTCTAGACTTGTAAAAACCCTTTGACTTTGGCTCTTGGGTGCCATGGTTGGCCCGCTGGCCGGGGTGGCTGACGGGGCCTGGCGGGCGGTCGGCTGGGGGCGCGTGCTTGGTTGTTGGCGGTGTGTGGGGGTGGTCGGTGGCGCGTCCTCTTCATGGTGGGGGGTGTCCTGTCGGCTGGGCGTGGCCTGGGCCGGGTCTGGGATATTGGCTCTTCTCCGCTCGAGAATGAATGGGTTTACCTCCTGGGTTTGGGCATGGGCTGCCCCCTGTAGAGGGCGGGTACATGTCTTGGACCTGGGGGGTATAGAGTGCGTATCGGGAATAAGAATGAAATGTATCGTTATTGTATGTCTTTGAGTGAGTGAGTGTGAGAATGAGGCTGGGACTGTGTGATTGTGTCTGTGTATGAATGGGTATTTGTTAGGCCGAGACTCGGACTGCCCCCTCTTTGATACAACTGGGGGTGCTTGGCATCGCGCCCCTATCGCGCGGCCCCCTGGTGGGGTGTGCCCTTTCCTGCCGGCGCGCTTGGGGCCCTTGGAGTCGGGGGCTGGGCGCTTGGGCGTGTGTCGGCTCGGCCTGGTGTCTGCCTGGTGGGGCTCGGGTCCTCTGGCCCTGTCGGGCCTTGGCCTGGGTAGTGTGAGTCCTCGGTGCCTGGGCCTCGGTGCCCGGACCTGGACCTACATCGGTACGGCGGGTTCCGACGGAGGCCTATGAGTTTGTCGCTGTTGGCCCCGGGGGGTCACTGTATGTGGTCGCTGGTGGGGATCTTCCGGTTCTCCCCTGTGGTCCGTTCTGGGGGGTGGGTGAGTGGTTCGTCCTGTGTGGGTGGCCCTGGGGGCTCAGCGGTCGGGGTCCCTCCTGGGGTCTTGGGCTCTGGTCCCCCCTTTTTCGTCTGCCTCTGGTCTTGGGGGTCGGGTCTCTGCTGCTTCACAGTTACTATTAAATGTTCTATTAGAGAAGCCTTATACACTTATGCATGCTCACAACCACACACAAATAGAAGCAGGGATGCTTATGTAGGCTTTATATGTAGATATATAGATATGTGTAGTATGAACAGATGCTGAGATATATTCATACATTAAACGGGTTCTTCATTTTTCTGAACTGTGTAACATGCGTGCATTGAATTTAACAGAAATGTAACGAGAGACGTTATTTATCTTTGACCCATCAAAATGAATGCGGTCATTTATTTACAGAATCAAAGTTTAACATCAAACATTTACATTAATTTGGCAAAATATGAAAATAACAACAGCATAATTAATCAATCAGGAAAACCATACGGCCATGGTTTTCCGTTGCTTCACCACAGACATTAATGAAAACATCTGGATTAATTTTCTAGCAGAAAGGAGAGTTTGAAGATGGAAAATTGAGATTTATCTTACAGAGAGATGTGTGAGGGAATTTATCTGTTTTAACCAGAACAGCACGCTCTTTGGAAATCAGCTTGGCCAACGGTACGCTTGGTCGAAATAGAACTTTTACCTTGCAGACGATAGCTTCAGCGTCGATGTAGAGCTCTCCTTTTGACTCTTTCAGCGTCTCCGTGAGGACAGCTAAAACCTTAGGAGTCATGTGAGGTTATCCAAACAGAAGTTGTAATTCCCAAAATCGTCTCTGGTTCAGCTTGTCTGGTTTCCAAGAACTCTGAACTCCTTCAGAACTCTGAACTCTTGAACTCTGAAACTCTGTAACCCATCTCTTCTCAACTCTGAAACTCTTACTGTTGAACTGGGAAGTTGCCACATTTAAACGGCTATACTTCCGGTTCATTTGAGAGCTTTCTGATTCGTGGATGGACCAGAACAGAGGTGTGGTTTGTGATGTAAGGTGTTATGGAAAGTCAAGGATTGTTTAAGAACAGACAGAAAGATTATGGTTCACAAAACCAGTCTTAGTGGCGTCTCTCCTCCTAGTATCTGCTGTGAAAGTTAAACATAACATTTCTTTTCAGTAAACTTTTTAGTTGACCGAAGCTCGAACTTTAACACACTTACAAATTTGCTCATTGAAGACAGAAAAATCAAGAAATGCATATTACCCTGATTTCTTCTTTGAATGAGGAATAAAAATCATTACTACTGTTTAAGTAAATAAAAATGAGTAGTTCACTTCCACATGTAAACATTGTTTGAACTAACACAATTTGATTATCAAACATTTGTAAAATAGTAATGATCATAGAGAATTGTCTTTTCCACTTGATTAATTCAAGAAAGAAAGTCTCAGGATGGGTCAAACTGTATTTCTGGATTCAAATCAATGAAATGACAGTTTCTGTCCATCTGGTCAGTTTTGACATAGGCCTAGTCCACTACATATGTATATGAATGTATATTCATGTGTATGTATGTATGTATGTATATAGGCGTAGGTATGGGTATATATATTTATGGAAACTTACTGCAAAGCCATGAATATTTTAAGTTCTTTATACATATGTATTTTGTTGCTGTGTTTTGTCATGTTCTTTGCAGGTGAACAGACAGTGGCCGGGTGTTTTGCCGTGTGCTCTCTTTGTGTATATTTCTTATATTTTGGAGTCTTACTTTGTCTTTTCTTTCTTTCTATCCTATTAAAAAAAATAAAAATAAAAAAATAAATAAATAAATAAATAAAAAAAATAAAACCTACACTAGATAGTCACTAGAATAAATATCTCAGAATAATGGTGTGGAGAGGATGGCTGTAAGGGGAGAAGGGAGGCCATCGGAAAAAAAATAAAAAAATAACAACATACATTGAGGAAAATAAGTATTTGAACACCCTGCAACTTTGCAAGTTCTCCCACTTAGAAATCATGGAGGGGTCTGAAATTTTCATCTTAGGTGCATGTCCATTGTGAGAGACATAATCTAAAAAAAATAAAAATCTGGAAATCACAATGTATGATTTTTTAAATAATTTATTTGTGTGTTACTGCTGCAAATAAGTGTTTGAACACCTGTGAAAATCAATGTTAATATTTTGTACAATAGCCTTTGTTTGTAGTTACAGAGGTCAAACATTTCCTGTAGTTTTTCACCAGGTTTGCACACACTGCAGCAAGGATTTTGGCCCATTCCTCTACACAGATCTTCTATAGATCAGCCAGGTTTCTGGGCTGTCGCTGAGAAACACAGAGTTTGAGCTTCCTCCAAAGATTTTCTATAGGGTTTAGGTCTGGAGACTGGCTAGACCACTCCAGAACCTTGATATGCTTCTTACGGAGACACTCCTTGGTTATCCTGGCTGTGTGCTTCAGGTCACTGTTATGTTGGAAGACCCAGCCATGACCCATCTTCAATGTTTTAACTGAGGCGAGTGGAGTTAAGACCAAAAACTTGTATTTTGGTCTCATCTGACCACATAACTTTCTCCCATGACTCCTCTGGATCATCCAAATAGTCATGGGCAAACTTAAGATGGGCCTGGACGTGTGCTGATTTAAGCAGGGGAACCTTACATGCCATGCGTGATTTTAAACTATGACGTCTTAGTGTATTACCCACATCAACCTTGGAAACAGTGGTGCCAGTTCTCTTCAGGTCTTTGACCAGCTCCTCCCGTGTAGTTCTGGGCTGATTCCTCATCTTTCTTAGGCTCACTGATATGCCACGAGGTGAAATCTTGCATGGAGCCCCAGTCCGAGGGAGATTGACAGTTATGTTTAGCTTCTTCCATTTTCTATAACAGTTATGTTTAGCTTCTTCCATTTTCTAATAATTACTCCAACAGTTGATCTTTTTTCACCAAGCTGCATGGTAATTGCCCCATAGCCCTTTCCAGCCTTGTGGAGGTCTACAATTTTGTCTCTGGTGTCTTTTGGACAGCTCTTTGGTCTTAGCCATGTTAGTAGTTGGAGTCGTACCAATTCTGTGGGGTGGACAGGTGTCTTTATGCAGCTAACGACCCTCAAACAGGTGCTTCTAATTTAGAATAATAAGTGGAGTGGAGGTGGACTTTTTAGAGGCAGACTAACAGGTCTTTGAGAGCCAGAATTGTTGCTGATTGGCAGGTGTTCAAATACTTATTTGCAGCAGTAACACACAAATAAATAATTTTAAAAAATCATACATTGTGGTTTCTGGATTTTTATTTTTTATTTTTTTAGATTATGTCTCTCACAGTGAACATGCACCTAAGATGAAAAATTCAGACCCCTCCATGATTTCTAAGTGGGAGAACTTGCAAAGTCGCAGGGTGTTCAAATACTTATTTTCCTCACTGTATAAACACAGAACACTGTTGCGGATGGGGCTGCCAGCTCTCTCTTTTTTTTTTCTTTTTTTTTTTTTACGACCTGTCAATCAATCCAGTAGGCGTGTCAGCAAATGACCAATAGGCGACCTCAATTTGTCCCGAAGGTAAACGCCCCTTGTCTGCAGTGCTGGTCTGCAGCCGCTCGGGGTGGACGCTCGAGTATGAAGTCTCAACCTTCTGCGGACAGTGTGAGTCGAGTCCGCACAGAAAATGGTCCGTGCGAATATACTGGAGCCTTAACTTAGCAGCAGGTTAGTGGAATATAACACTCTATTACCGTTTTTATAACTCTGTAAATCCTCCTCATCCTCTTGATGTTCCGACGATTCCTCCCTGTGGTAAGTGACAATCGTCCGGTGTACCCTCCTTCTCTGCATGTGGCAAACAGAAGAAGTAATTGTAAATGTTCATTTCTGACTTGTACACCCAGCAAAAACTGCAGGAGGCCAAATGGTACCACATACCTCTTTCCTCTGATCAGAGGAGCTGGCAAAGGACAAGGGAAGACCCATTTGAGCCATTAACTGAGATTCTTCATCCAAAACCTCCTCCTCTTCCTCTTCTGATTCTGTCAGTTCACAAAAAATAAAGAAGTTTGTAATAACATTATATATTTAATTGGTCTACAGAGTTCACCATCATTCCTCCACCACCGTGATGACAGTCGCTGCGAGATGCAAAGGCAACTGAACACAACAATTGTAATTTATTTTAAAATAAACACTTCCCAACCACACCTGTAGCTAATTCATCAATTACCAAGTAGAAAAATGAAGCTACAAGCATTAGAGCTACTGAAGCTCTAAATGTGGTTACTTTTGGAAAAAAAATCTCTTCCATATATATTTTTTAGGTGTTTATGTTCTTTTAAGTGGCAGCACGGTAGCGCAGATGGTAGAGCTGCTGCCTCTCAACGAGCAGGTCGCCCCAGTTCAAAGCCTGGCTGGGGGCCTTTCTGGGTGGAGTTTACATGTTCTCTCCGTGGATGTGTGGGTTTTCTCCGGTTACTCCGGTTTCCTCTCACAGACCAAAAACATGTATGTTAGGCAGAGTTTATTTTTATTTCATTAAATTAAAAATGGAGATTGACCATAAACTGTTGTTGTAGTGCTGCCATGTTGTTTTACAGATGAGTCTGGTGAAGATTCTCAGTCATCCAGGACATGGTAAATTCAAAAAAGTTCAAGAGAAAAACAACTGGACTTTATATGTAACAGAAGACATTTCGCTTATCATCCAAAGCTTTCTCAATTCAAAAAACAAAGAGTGTGGAATTCAGGTTATAAAGATGAGAAAAGATACACAAATATATATGCAGATTGACCTATCACACCTCACAGTAGGTGTTTGTTAAGGTCTTTGTTAATCTAATTCACAGATAAGGCCCCTCTGGTCCCGACAGGTGTGAAACTGGCTTAAAGCTGCATTATAAGTTTTTGAAAGTTGAAATCTGCGGCCTCCTCTTCAGTTTAGAGATGGTTTCTCTCTTTTTACAAAGATGGCTTCCTTCAATCTCCACTTAAACCATCTGTCTTCTCGGGCCAAAATGTACACATTTTGGTCCTAAAAAAAGCCACTCCCTGTCTATATGGACCTACTAAAATAAACAAAGAAGGAACAACACTCAGACCCATCGTCAGCAGCATGAACTCAGTGACATACAATATTGCTAAACATAGCATAGGGGCGGTGTTGGATTTGATATCTTTTATATCTTTTATATCTTTTGACAAGCCTTGACATTTCTCTGATAATGTGAAATGATGCATTTTCTACAAGGTGTGTGCGGATATAATCATACACTAATTACTTCATGTTATATATAACCTCACAAGTGCTAAGGATAATCATACAAGTTCACATTTGATATAATTCTGAGGGAAACAGACAGGTAAGACACTTATTCGTGCAGCAGGAAACGATCCTTCTTTGTTCATCTGAGCAGAGCAGCTGAGAGTGAGGGCCCACCAATGTGACACACTGTTCACACATTGATTAAACATAAATAACGCTAAAACACAAACATTCATATACTTTATACTTAAAACAGATGGAGTATATATGCTTTCACATTAATAATAGTTCAGACACACAGAAAACGTGTTTTAAAGCTTTACACAGACGAGAGCCAGAGAAAGTGTCCTGTGTTCCAAAACAAAGCTCATAAATCAACCCTTATCAGTAAAAGAATGAGCGAGGCCTTCTGGAGTAACCGTGGATAAGATCTGCTCCTGACTGGCTGAACAGGGTGTCACTCAGACCATCAAGAGGTTTTGACACCCAATCACAAGTCTGTCCGAACCCGAAAGGGCGGGACATGAGAAACCTATAAATCTCGCTCAGACACAAAGTTTGGTTGAACAAACATCGGCTGATTGACCAGGAAGGTTCATTCTGATTTTGTTCCTCAGACTGCACTCTGATTATATGTAATATCTGCATACTTTAACTTTGTCTCAATTAAATCTTTTATACAAAGGTGAAGTGCTCCTGAAATTCTGTGCTCGGGTCATTTGAACACCCCAAAATCCTTCAGCGGCTGTGGCTGAGGGGTTAGAGCAGTTGTAGATGAACAGATGCTCAGATATATTCATCAATTAACACGGATTCCTCATTTTTCTGGACTGAATAAAACGTGCATTGAATTTAATGAAATGCAAACGTGAGACGTCATTTATCTTTGACCCATCAAAATGAATGCGGTCATTTATTTACAGAATCAAAGTTTAACATCAAACATTTACATTAATTTGGCAAATTATGAAAATAACACATAATCAATCAGGAAAACCATACGGCCATGATTTTCCGTTGCTTCACCACAGACATTTATGAAAACTGTACAATTATGTTCAATTGTCCACACGGCGGTGGATGAGCACTTTACACAGACATTTCTAAAATATCTGGAAGAATTTCTACTTGAGAGAAGAATTTAAAGATGGGAAGGAAGTTTAAAGGGGGTGAAAGATGGTGTTTGAGGGAGAGTGTTTAACAGAACTGCACTCTCCGGGCTTTCTTCAGCTTCTTCCTTACAGTACACTTAGGTGGTGAAATCGACTCTTTTACCTGGAGATGTCTCAGGCGAGATTCCGTTTAACGCACCCTTTCAGCGTCTCCGTAGGATGCTGTGAATCGTCCGAAGTAGTGGCGAGGCTCTGTCCGACACAAGCTCACCTCAGTGGAAAATGTTATAATCCCATGAAACTCGGAAGAGCTCTGTGGTCATGTCAGGGTCTTCCTGGCTCCCACAGCCTGCACAGCACTAGGACATATCAGAACTGTCCGCACCGCCGAACTTCTCCAACCCACAGAACTGGGTAAACCAGAAAGTACTGACATTTTTAAAGAGCTCTTTTCCCGGTTCATTTGGGAGTCTTCCCATTGGTCAGAACCGACCAGACGGGGTGTGTTTTGTGACGTAAGAGGTTAGAAGACAGCAAGAATTGTTATGGAACAGATCAGAAATGTTCTCAGAGACATAGAGAGTTTTGTTTTGGCGAGTTTTAGAAACAGGTGCCAACTCCTTCTGTTTACGTCTGAGAGGATGTAAACAAGACAGTTGTTCCACACATGTCTGCTTCGACTCCTGACCCTGGAAAACGCACACTTGCTCATTCAAAGACAGAAATCAGAAAATGCATAATTACTCTGTAACAGCTTTAACATGAATTCTAACTTTGCCTAAACAACTAAAAATCATTGTTACGATTTTACAGTTAATAAAATTGATTAGTTCACTGCAACATCTAAAATGGTTTGAACTAAGACACTTTATCAACGTTTGTAAAATAGTAATGATAATAAAAAGAGAGTGTTCTTCCACTTGATTGTCAAGAAAGAGAGTCTCAGGATGGGTGAACCTGTATTTCTGGATTCAAATCAATGAAACGACAGTTCCTGTCCCACAATGTTCTTAAGGTCAAGGGTTTTGACCTTAGGCTTAGTCTGACATCAGGTTAGGTTCACTACACAGTCGTCCTCCAATGCAAGAGTTGGGGTTTCGAATCCACCAGCAGTCATATGTCGAAGTGTCCTTGGGCAAGACACTGAACCCCTCATAGCCTCTGATGTGTGTCCCATCAGTGTATGAATGTGATCTAAAGCACTGATTAGTCTCTTTAGAATGATTTGTTCAATTAGCTTTGTAGTGATCTAGTAGAGTGCTGTACGAATGGGTAAATGAGGACACAGATTGTAATATAAAGCGCTTTGAGTGTCTTGAAATAAGATAGAAAGGCGCTATATAAGTACAGTCCATTTATATGGCTGGTATTTTAGCTCTTCTTGTTGGAAACAATTGAATTCAATCCAATTCAAAAATACTTTATTAATCCCAGAGGGAAAGTAAATAATAATAATAATATAATAATATTAAACACACCTCATCACATAAATAACTCCGTGGATTTTGCCAACAAAGTTCAATGTTTGAAGCTAGCCCCAGGAGAAACCCTTGTATCATATGATGTGACTTCTCTTTTCACTTGCATAACCATTTCTGAAGCAGTAGAAACCGTCAGAAAACGACTTCTACAAAACAAGGACTTAAACAAGAGGACCAACTTCACCCCAGACCAGATCTGCACCCTGTTGGACCTCTGCCACTTATTTCAAGTATAATGACAGTTTTTACAGACAGAAGCACGGTTGTGCCATGGGATCTCCTGTGTCACTCATTGTTGCCAGTTTCTACATGGAGGAAGTGGAACAGAGAGCCCTAAACTCCTATAAGGGAACAACGCCAAGCCATTGGTTCTAATATGTAGATGATAACTGGGTCAAAATCCAAGCCAAGGAAATAGAAGTGTTCACCAGACACATTAACTTGGTCGATAACATCAAGTTCACCAGAAAGGATGCAAACGACAAAAAGCTGACGTTTTTGGACTGTTTGGTTCATATGGATAGAGAGGACAGCCTCAACATTGAAGTTAACAGAAAACCAATCCACACATATCAGTATCTTCTGATTGACTCTTATCACCCACTGGAACACAAACTCTTGGTCATCAGAACATTACAGCTGAACGGGCTGAACACATCCCCACGAAGACAGAAGGGAAGGGAAAGGAACAGAAACACATCCAAGAAGCTCTTCAAACATGTGGATATGCTAACTGGGCTTTTGTCAAGTCAGCGAGGAAATCTACAAAATACAATGTTAAACAGAAAAAAGAGAACAAGAGACGAAAAAACATCTTCATCCCTTATGTTGCTGGAGTATCAGAAAAATTCAGAAGGATTTTCAACAAAACACAACATCCATCCCAATACATTTCAAACCTGGAACCTCAGGCAGAGGTTGGTCCACCCCAAGGACAAAACACCCATACACAAACTGAGTGGTGTGGTGTATGTAGTTCAGTGCAATGAGGTGTAGGGGAACACCACCTCAGAAAAAGAACACCACCTCAGAAACAGTTCATCTCAGCTCAAACAGAAAAGAGTTCACCTCATCTCAAACAAACATCATTCATGTGTTTTTGTGTTTAAAACTGTTTAAAATAAGATGCATCTACTTCCTTGGGAACAAACAGACTTTGTTTTACAGGTGTTCAACTCAGC